TCGAAGAGGACAAGTTTCCCAGTCATACAAATACACAAAAACAAGTAACGCTGTGCTATATACCCCCTTTCACTGTAGGGAATGTCGCTCCGGCGCTGAAGATGTTGTAGATTGTAAGACGCTAATTTTGCCTTATAAAACGTCAAGAGTTCTGTCTACCTACAAAACAATGCAACTGCTCCTGTAGGCAAAGCGCTCAACCACTTACAGGGTGGTATCACCTAAAAGAAGTGCAGGAACGGGTTTCTGCCAATCTTGTAGCAGCAACTTGCATCTGATTATCTCAATCGTAAGAGAGAATTTGCACATTAATACCGTTGGTTGAAACCCCATTAATTCTGATTTTCTCTTGGTACCCAGACGGTTAATAATATTTTCATTATCGACCGTATTTGTCGATGGTTTTGCTTTTTCCGTGCACTTCGGCTCCTCTATTCCTTTTTTGGTTTTATATATTCTTACTACTAATGAGTAAACAGTGGCATTTATAAAAGATGATGGTTACAGACGGCACATTCTACGCTGAAACCTTTGTCCCTGATGCGCATCTCACTTAAACATAGTCAATAGTCAATTGCNAATTGCATTATCCGCGATTGAGTGAATAATCGTTAAGGTCGGCGTACTAACACACGTGATCCGATTCATCATGTTCATTTATTTCGCAACGTGGAAACCAGAAAATTGAGCGTACTAACAGGTTCCCGCGTGAGCGAGGATAATCAAACCTCTTCTCATGATTGAACCATTTCCCGAGATAAACTTGAAGAGAGAGCGCAACAAAGCTTGGTTGCGTTATCTATCGCCCAATATTTGTTGATGACCAATCTTGGTCCGGATCCGACAAGCCGATCATTTATCCGAACACCAACCCCCGGCTGCTTAGGTTTGCGGAGTCGGTTGCAATCAGGAAATGGAAACCCGGCCCGTTTGCAAAAACAACTCAGTCAGATTGTCCCTGCCGTCGCATTGATAAAAGTGTGATGATTCGGCCCTATCATATTCTTGTTTAACCCGATGTACTGTTCAACGATGTAATCTGTAGTTTTCTGCCGTATTGTACCAGTTGAGATACAGCGAGACCAACTTTGGCATAAATCGTGCAACCTAGCATTGATGTGTTCTATACATGAGCTGGGCTAGTGTTTCAGGCGGTTATCGATTGGAACAACCGAGGCGACTTGATCCCCATGCTGGAACGGATACCACTAAGTTAACAGAAACTATCAACCGGAAATATGTTCAGCATGTCTGATTGTGGAATGAAAGCACTTTGGTGATAAAATGCTACTCAATCACGGAACAAATATATACGTTACGAAAACACTGTAGTGAACAAAGCTTGCTTTCGATAACTGCCTCCTATGGCTAATACAGTTATATATAGGGTTCAAAATGATCGAATTGGTGTAATGATCAGATGTGATGAATATGATTGGTTGATTGTGATCTTGTGATGTGTGGTTTGGAAATGTGAGGGCAGTGTTGTTGTTGTGTGGTTCGGAAATGCTGACAGTTGGTGGTTAGAGTGAGCTGTTCCATTTCCGGTCTGCGCCCCTGGGTCATGACAAAGGTCACGGTGGTTTCGGTCAGCTGTGTCAGGTTGAGGCCAGGGTAAACGAATGGACTGGACGAATCGTTTTTGAGAACAAAGGGACGGATAGAGTAAGCGAATTGCCACCGCCTCGGCTGTAGCAGGGTGTCGTTGACGAACAGCTTTTGATGGGCTTGCTGGTACTTTGTACTTTTTTTCTGTCTGACATATGGAACGCATTCACATTAAAAGTCTCTCGCCGACACGGTGAGAAGTAAGGTTTCTGTTTCTCTCTGTTTGCAGATAGGCGAAGAAAGTGACCGTTTGAAGAGGTGGATGTACACTCGTGAGCACACCACCGAAGGAATTCTGGACGTTTGATTGGCCTGTGGCCACTACCAGTCCTGTGCAACCTGCCCTGACCTGACCTTGAAAGCGTCGTCGTTTGCTTGATGCCCCGTGTATGCAAGGTGTTCTACCACCGCACTTATAATCGTTTTCCTTTTGCCCGTACTCAACCACGCCGGTTTGTGCTCCTTCATTCTTTGAGACAATTGCCTGATCGTTCTTTCAACATAACTTGCCGAACATGAGCAAAGAAAGTGGTAAGTGATCATAGCTGAGGAGTATATGGGCAAGGTATCTTTAGGATTTACGGAAACCAGTCGCCGGCTTGTGAATTCAGTGAGTAGGCGTCTCAGTAACTCAGGTTTGTAATCTCCTTTGAAAGACATTTCTATGAAGAGTTCTTTTCTTTTCACCGTTATCAGTGGTGCTCTCGGCGGCTGTTCTGTCAAATTCTTCAAAACGAATCGTTTCAGGAAGCCCTTGTCAAACAGTGTTTGCTTTATACTTTCCAGTTCCTGAGACAGTCTGCTGAGCAAATTCTCTGTGCTCGATAGGCAAGGGTTTGGACTGGGTTTCGCTTGAGCTTCAGTGGCACAAACAGGCAAAATTAGAGTATTTCCCAGTTCAAGTTGGTTTGCGATAAAAACAGAGCGTTTTATCACACTTCCACGCGGCATCCTGTGAGTTTTACATCTAGGAAGTGAAAATTATCTCCCAATTCCTAATTCGGACGTAGAACTGATGGCGGTGTGGGCATTATTAAAGGCATTTACAAGTGGAACTATTTGCATCTGATTTTCGATCGAGATAAAAATATCATCCACTTAATGACAATAGAATGGCAAGCTTCTTATTGTGTTTTGTGAGACCTTATTTTCCAGTTTGGAAACAAAAATATCAGCTAATAGAAGTCCAAGTGGTGATCCGATGGCAACACCGTCCATTTGACAATCGATTTCTCCGTTAAAGCTGAACTGAATGTTGTATGTGCAACGCAATAATAACTTTTAAATTATCCACTGGGATGCCAATATTGATATCATTCTCACTGATATACTCACATAGGTATGTTATCATTTCCGAAAGTTGCACGTTTGTAAACAATGAAGTCACATCCAAGGAAGCCATCCCAACTCCGTCCACGTTCTCCTCCTTAATCAAGTCTGTGAATTCAAATGTATCTTTTAGGCTGTATTGTGCTATACTTCTCCGAACCGGTTCCAGTAAATTCAAAAGCCAGTGATCAACCTGATGATAAGGCGAAGCACTCATGTCTAATATTGGCCTCAATGAGACATCTGATTTATATATTTTCGTTAGACCGTAGAGTCGCGGGATAGACGTACCCGTTGGCCGTAGTTGGTCAAAAACTGCTTTGGATATACAATTTCGATCCTGAAGCATTTTCAGGGATGCTGTAAGTTGTTCTTCCGCTACCTTTGTCCGATCCGTTTCCCCTTCATCCTTTCTAAATTTTGAGCGGTCGTTCAAAATCTTGTTCATCTTATTGACGTAATCGGATCGATTTAATAGCACGAACCCCGAGCTCTTATCCGGTCTAGCAATGATAATGTTTGTATTTCCCCTGATTATTCTCGGTGCTTCTCGTTTATTAGACTTCTATTGGGTCTTCCATTCCTTTGGTACTGATACGAACAGTCGACGAGTGTGGATTTGAAATCATTCACTGCATTTTGCGTTGTTTCTACTCGCCTACTCAATCCGTCCCTTTGTTCTCAAAAACGATTCGTCCAGTCCATTCGTTTACCCTGGCCTCAACCTGACACAGCTGACCGAAACCACCGTGACCTTTGTCATGACCCAGGGGCGCAGACCGGAAATGGAACAGCTCACTCTAACCACCAACTGTGAGCATTTCCGAACCACACAACAATAACAACAACAACAGCAACACTACCCTCACATTTCCAAACCATACATCACAATCAACCAATCATACTCATCACATCTGACCATTACACTAATTCGATCATTTTGAACCCTATATCTAACTGTATTAGCCATAGGAGGCAGTTATCGAAAGCAAGCTTTGTTCACTACAGTGTTTTCTTAATGTCACGATGGGAATATTCAATAAATCTGTACTTCATTCATGCACAGAGATAAAGCAACGCAATGGTGAATTATGTTCTGAAGCACCCACCAACTGGGATAGTTCGGATAATACATATATAACTAATCACTTGAGAAAAAGAAAAATCGGTCGGCTTTTTGTATATTAACACGAAGCACAGTGTAGCAATAAGATATCCCGGTCAAATAGAACATGGAGACAAACAAAGAGTGTTCCATGCTCAGTTTTAATAGAGACTTATTTTGTCACATTGTATAGATTATTCTTAAGAACTGTGTTCTAGCCTATTCCTGATCTTTTCAGTTTCTCTAATGGTGGATCTGTAGAGAAAGGATAATACAGCGGTCAAAGCCGAGGCGTGGATTGGTTATTCAAACTGGAGCCTTTGACCGATAACGAAACGAGGATTATCGCAACACGTATCTTTGTATTGTCGCCCCTAATCGCGGCCACAACGGCACGCTAACATACATACACACACACACACATACAGATACGCACAATCAGATGGTAACGCGGGGGAAATAGATTGAAAGACCGGAATAGAAGATAATGAAGACAATTCTAAGGAATGAGATTCCACGGATGAATTGAACGTCAGATGAGAGATACGTTTTGAAGATTGAGCAAATCTGTGGCATACATTTCTGCTTTTCGCGAATGTGTGTGTGTGTGTGTGTGTGTTTGGACGTGAGAGATGGGGAGGGGGGCGGAGGGGACTTTTGGTCTATATTTTTTATTGGTTTCGCTCTCTCGCGCGCGTGCGTGCGTTTGCTTTGAGTGTGGCCGGATCAGTCATATTGAAGCTAAACCGTAAGGAACAGTTCCGAGACAATCTCAGAATTTGTTGTCTGTGAACGTGTGCGCTTTGTGTCTGTGTGTATGGATGGACATAGGTGTGCGTGCATGTCAAGACAATTTGGGCGACCATGAAACACGACGCGGTTTGACATGGTGTCAAAGGTGTAAGATCAATTATACATTTTCAATCTCGTCTTCACACTCGATCAGCACGGGAATAGGTCATGTGCGTAATCGATTCAGGACAATCTGATCATGATGTTGCAATAGGTTCGTGTCGGACGCGGTTAAACAATGCTCTCCACTGAGTAATGCAGTGGATCGTTTGATGGGGTTTTCTTGCCGGAGTGTTGGACTGATAAAGAGCTGTTGTGTATTAGAAACAGGATAGGACACATCTTTGGAGATCAACTGAATGGTGTCACCTATAAAAAAAGAAGAGTACACAAAAGTTAAACGCACAAAGTATAAATACATATTGTCCTAAATGTTCGGCATAATCCAGTAGACACGTCAATAACGAAATAGAATACACCGGCTGATAGAATTGGCGATAACAGCAGTTTATTAAGCTGGATGTCTTTTAAACCGACATTGACTGGAAATCCATTCACGTATGACAAATACAGGGATTTTTATGATGTGATGGAAAAGGAGATACTTGAGTTGCGGACGGTGGATAAGGAGGGCCAATTACCTGGGCATCATAATTACCCGATCTGCGATTGTGGTCATAAGTTGCGCAATATGGCTGAAACCCGAATTTAGTTTAACATTTGATTTTGGTCTACTTGTCAGCAAGAAGAGGGAAATTCGAAAAGTCCGGTGCACCAAATCAAACGGGAAGAAAGAATAAGAGAATCGTCTGAAGTTTTTTTTCTCTCTCGGGAGAACAGAGCTATACACAACCGAGCGCGTCCTCCAA